ATCAGTTATGGTCTCTTTGGGGTATATTCCCAGTAGTGGAATTGCTGGGTCAAATGGTATCTCTATTTGCAACTTTTTGAGAAAGCGCCATACCGCTTTCCACAGTGGTTGCACCATTTTACACTCTCACCAACAGTGAATAAGGGTTCCAGTTTCTCCACAACCTCGTCAATATTTGTTGCTTGCTGTTCTGTTATATTTTGCTATTTTGACTGGGGTGAGATGATATCTCATAGTTGTTTTAATAGACCTTACATTTTTAACTGCAGATGAAAGTACTACCAAAAAGATGATGTGTGCCAATTAAATATTAAAGCTCTCAATTACTTATCAATGAAACACGATGTTTCATTGATAAGTAAAACACTTTTTAAAAAGCATTATGCTGAGTGAAATATCTCAGTCACAAAAGGATGAATGCTGCCTAGTGCCACTGTTGTAAAATAGGGCTCACCTTGGGGTTGGGGGGGAGACTGAGAAAGATAGGATGAATAATGTATACTGCATTGAAACAGATGAGAGAGAGAACTGTTTAAAAGGGATATGTGATTAGGTATTATTGTCATGACAGGAGTCCAGAACAAAGGCTGCATAGTGGAGTAGACTTGGGGGGATGGATTGTATACCAATGAAAGAATTTTTCTTTTACTTTTCAAAGAGAAGAATAAACTGGGAGGGGAGGGGTGGACAGGGAGAAAAGTGCAGCAAAGAATGAATGGAAACCCTAAGTCTCTATAAATTTTCATTTATAATCATAATCATAATCACATTTCACGTCCTAGAAGAAGGGAAAGCCTTCTGATTAAAAGCACTGTCTTTCTCTTAAAGGTCCTCTGTAGCATCAATTCAATTGCTCACAATCCAAGAGTTCCAGTAATAATTTATAAACAGAGCAAAGGAGGAGCTCAACAGTTAAATAATGATTTTGTTCAAGACTGCGGCTTTGAACATCTTGTGCCTATTATAGAAATGTGGGCGGATCAGCTGACCTCCCTGAAGGTAAGACGATGGATATTCTTTACCTGCTTTCAGACTCTATTGGAATCCAGGAGATTTTCAATTATGGAACCCTTGGCTTAGTGGTAAGGAGTTGCACTGCCAACCAAAAGGGAGGCAGTTCGAATCCCCAAGCTGCCATCTCCTCTCATGTGATTTGTGGCCTCTGAAAACCCACTGGAGGGTCTGCTGTCACCTGGTTCTGACTTGATAGCACTTAACAACAATAGTGGCATAATGAAATTTTTAAATTGGACTTAAGGGGTTTTTTTTGTTATATTTTAACTGTAAAGTTGAAATGCTGAGGTTATACCTTGAATCTTTATGCTTAACATGTATGTTTTCAAAGACCACCCATTAAGGAGCCCTGGCAGCATCATGAAAATAAAAAAAAAACAACAACACAACCAAAACACTTCTTCGCTTTTTTTTTTTTTATAGTTTAAGCCACAATTTTAATGTAGTGGATTTAGTATTTCTTTTTTGTTGTTGTTGTTGTTATTTTTTTATAATTTTAATGAACCTTTACAGAGATTTTGGATTTCCATTCATTCATTGCTGCACTTCTCTCCCTGCCTAGCCCTTCCCGCCCCCCACCCCAGTTCGCTCCTCTCTTTTAAAAGTAAAAGAAACACTCCCTCCCTGGTACACAGTCCCCCCTCACCCCTCCCACCGCCCCAAGTACATTCCACTATGCAACCTTAATTGTGGACTCTTGTGCACTTCCTCGCTTTTAAGTTGATACGGACTCACAGCTGACCCTCTGGTGAGTTTTCCGAGGCTGTAAATCCAACTAGAGGAGACTGCCTGTCTTTCTTCTTCAGAGCAGCTGGTGGATTCAAACCACCTGCCTTCAGCTTGGCAGTGCAGCTCCTTACCACTGAGCCACCAAGCTCCCTAGGTTTAAACTATGATGGCTTAAGTTTATACATAACGGGCTGCTAACTAAAAAGTCAGCAGTACGAATCCCCCATTGACTCCGGGGGGAGCAAGGCGGGCAGTCTCCTCCCATAAAGTCAAGGAGCTCTGGTGGCCCAGCCGCCAGTGTGTTGTTCTACTAACCAGACACTCCCGCTTTTCTGTTTCCATTATTGTAAACTTCACCTCTAACGTCGTACTCAGCGTGACCCCGATAGGCTCGTTCCCTGGCTCCACGAGCATCACCTGTGAGCCCGCTTTGGCTTCTTGTCACCACCCTGGATTTCCTCCCTCTTGGTTTCCTCATGCTTCTCATTTTCCTGGCCCTGTCTTGTCTCCAGGTTAATACCTTCTCCTTTCATTTTGATTGGGAATGTTCTTTCCTCTGTATTTTGATTCTTTTCTTTCTTTCTTTCTTTCTTTCTTTGAAAAAATCATGTCAGTCTAACCTTCACCCTGCTCTTACTTCCTTTCGGACATCTGTCACTGATAAGTAAGCCAGAAAATCTTTTTTCTTAGCCTGGTAATATTCTTCTCAAGTAAAAATTAATAAGCTTTGGGGGAGGTATTCATTTTATCATAAACCTCTTTTTAACAAATGTAGCTTGGTGAGTAAAGATACCATTATCCTGCTACTTTACGACTTTCAATTTCTGACCACATTTCTTTCTTTTTTTTTATGGTGAGAAGAATTTATATTTAGAATTAGCCCGCTGTACTCTGTTGAGATGATCCCAATTTTGTTGGCAACATCCAAAGCATCATAATCAGGAGCAAGTCGAACATAGGCCTTCTTCTCTCCATCAGGCCTAATCAAAGTGTTGACCTTAGCCACATCAGTGTCTTTAATTTGGTGTTTAATTTGGTGCTTTTTGGCCTTGACATCCACAATGAACACAAGTGTGTTGTTATCTTCTATCTTCTTCATGACTGACTCAGTGGTCAGGGAAATTTGATGATGGCATAGTGGTCAAGCTTGTTTCTCCTGGGAGCACTCTTCCAGGGGTATCTGGGCTGCCTTCGGAGTCTCAGCATCTTAGGCCGCCAGAAGGTGGGTGACGTGCAGATCTTCTTCTTTTTTTTTTTTTTCTGGCTGTGGATGCCCTTCAGGACGCCTTCTTGGCCTTTAATGCCTTTGCTTTGGCTTCAGTTTTGGGAGGGCCAGGGGCTTCCTTCTTCGCTTTCGGTGCCATCTTCGAAAAAGCGACCACATTTCTAATTGAAAGCATTTGTGTGGCATGGATGGAATCTGTTGTGGGGAATTGTTGTTGTTGTTATGTGCCGTCGAAATAAATAAAACATTGGTGATGGTAACATGTAGAAGATCCAGCTTCTCAGATGAGGAGTGTTGAGAAAAGGGAGGACTAAAATAAGAAGTTAGAAAAGGAGCCGTTTCTGTATTCTAGAACATTACTGTCCAGTGTGGCAGTCACTAGCCACGTGTGATTATCGATCATTTGAAATGTGGCTAGTCACAATTGAATGAATGTAAAATGTACCCCAGATTTTGAAGCCTTCATATCAATAAAGGGGGAGCACTGGGGGACCTAGTGGATAGAGACCTGAATTGGTAACCTGAAAGCGGCACCTCCTGGAAGTTCGAATCCACTGACAGCTCCTTGTGAGAAAGATGGGAAATCTCTGATTTACAGGCTCTGAAAACCTACAGAAGGGCCAGCTATGAGTCAGCCCTGACTTGATGATAATGTGGTATTTTATTGTTGTTGGTTTAGGGGGTCTTATTAGTACTGCTGTAAAAAAAAATGTTGGGGAGCTCTGGTGGACTAATGGCCAAAAAAGCTGCATTGCAGTCCCAGAGGTGTGCGGTTCAAATCCACCAGATACTCTGTTGGAGAAGAAGGGGCAATCTCCTCCTGTACCAGTCAGAGATCCGATTCTACAGTACACACACAAATAACTTAAAAAAAAAAAAATGTCAGGTCCTGATCACATTGAGGTAATATTTTTTACATATTTTAATTATTCATAAAATAAAATCATAAAGTTAATACCTCCTATTTGTTTTCCCCTTTCTTAATGTGGCTATTAGTTAAAGATTGTTGTTGTTGTGTTCCATTGAGTTGGACCCTCCAGTGGGTTTTCAGAGGCAGTTAATCACACTAGAGGAGATTACCCGCCTTTCTCCTGGGAGCCACTGATAACCTTGAACCTTGCGCCTTCAGGATTGCAGCACAGCTTCCTTCCACTAGACCACCAATCATATTACAATTCTATTGTATGACACTGTTCTAGAGACAAGCACACTGCTATTTGCATAGTAGATATTCAGTAAATAACTAGTTGTCGATGGAGTCAGCCTGAGAGTTCTAAACTTCAAGTGGTCTTGTCCTCTTGTGCACAGTTTAAAATAGATTAGGACTCTTCTAGGGCAAGTTAATGAAATACGTGATTATGAAGATTAGGTTGACATTTGACAACCTATTACATTGAAACCTACCTGGAGGTACATGTTAATGGACTCATCTTGAAAATATTGCACTGAATGAAAGGAGCGAGTAACAAAAGATTTACATGAAATGCCCAGAAAAAACAAATCTATGGAGCCAGAGTGGGAGAGATGTGGGCAGTCTCCCTCCTTCTGTGCTATTTTACTGCCTCTGCAAACCTGCTGGAGGGTCCTCTGTGAGGTGATTCTGACTCTACGGTACCTAACAGTGAACATGGAGACAGAAAGTATAGATCACTGGTTCACCAGGGGCTGGCTGCAGGCACGGTGAGGTGGGGAACAGACTGCTTATGTGTGTGCAGTTTTTTTAGGAAATAATGAATACATTCTTAGATTAAATAGTGGTGATGATTAACATCCCTTTAAATAAATGTACTGAAAAATTCACTGAACTATGCATGTTAAGATGGTGAATTATTTTTATTGTATGTTGATATCTCAATAAAGTCATTATTTTAAACAATTCAAATGCACCAGCAGCTTCACAGAAGGATGTGCAATCTCCTGTGCGGTTGATTAACTGCCTCTGAAAACCTCCTGGAGGGTCCACTATAGATCCATTCTGGCACATAACAGCAACAATAACAGATATCTCCGGAAAGCTGTTATTTTTAAAAAATTCAAGGCCAAAGGATAAATTCATCTAGCTTGATATATTTATCCATTGGTATTTCAAATAATTACATTTAAAAATCTATGTTCAGGATAAGGTATATTTGTAATCAGTAAAGACCTTTTTGTAAAGACCTCTACTGAACTGGGAAAACTTAATAGACTCTTTCTAAGCTGGTAATGGCATTTTGTGTTAAAAAGACAAATGACTGTTAAGTATATTATTTTGTAAAAACTTCCCTGAGTTATTATAGTGTATTAACATTCAAATCGCTAACATTGTGTGATTTCTTTCATTTTAAAGGATTTGTATAAATCCTTGAAAATACTCTCTGCAGAACTGATACCTTGGCATAATTTAATGAAGCAGGGTGAAAACGAAAGTATCAAAGTTGAAGATCTGTTGTTTATCGTAGACACCATGTTGGAAGAAATTGAAAACAAACGAAAGGTAAAAGATATTACTTAAATAAATGTTTACACTAATCTTTGTAAAGTTGTATCTAAAAAAGCTGTAATTTGCTATTAATATTGATACTTGTTTTGTTGTTGTTGTTGTTATGTGCCGTCGAGTCGTTTCCGACTCATAGCGACCCTATGCACAACAGCCCTAAACCCTGCTCTATCCTGCGCCAACCGCACCGCCTCTGACAGACCCATCCCGATTACCCCAGTCACTGAATCAATCCATCTCATAGAGGGTCTTCCCCTCCTGCGCTGTCCCTCCACCCTCCCAAGCATGATGTACCTCTCCAAGGACCCGTCCCTCCTGGCAACATGTCCAAAGTATGTCAGGCGAAGCCCCAGAATCCTTGCCTCCAAGGAGCAGCTTGGTTTAATCCTCTCCAAGATGGATCTGTTTGTTTTCCTGGCAGTCCATGGTACATTCAGTACCCTTCTCCAGCACCACAGCTCAAAAGCATCCACTCTCCTTCTGTCCTCCCTAGTCATTGTCCAACTCTCTGATGCATAACAAGCGATTGCAAAGACCATGACCTGTATCAGGCGCACCTTAGTCTCCAGAGAGACACAGTTGCTCCTGAGTACTTTTGAGAGGTCCCTAACAGCAGACTTTCCCATCGCGATACGTTTTTTGATTTCCTGGCTGCTGGTGCCAAGAGTGTTGATTGTGGAGCCGAGCAGACTGAAGCTGTGAACAATCTCAATCTCTTCACCATCCATCCTGATGCTGCCAATTGGTCCAGTGGCGAGAATCTTTGTCTTCTTGACATTGAGCCTCAGTCCATATAGAAGGCTGCAGTCCTTGACCCTTCGCAGCAAGTGCATGAGGTCCTCCTCAGTTTCAGCAAGCAGGGTGGTACTTGTTTTACTGGCGCTTTATTTCTTTTTAAAAGTCTTATGTTAGGTGAGCTCTTGTAGCCTAGTGGCAAGAAACTGCACTGCATTCTCAGAGCTATGCGGTTCGGATCTACCAGATGCTCTGCTGGAGGAGGAGGGACAATTTCCTCCTTTAACCAATTAGATCCGATTTGACGGTACACTTGCAAAGAAAGTTTTATGTTAAAGACTTCTTTTTACTTTAAGAGATACTCTTGTTTTCTTCCCCCTTCTTATGGACAGGACAACAACATGCCAAACTTTGAGACCTTACAAGCTATTGTTTCTCACTTCCAAAAACTGTTTGATGTGCCTTCCTTGAACGGAGTCTATCCTCGGATGAACGAACTTTACACGAGGCTTGGGGAGATGAGCAACGCCGTGAGGAACATTCGAGAACTTTTAGAACTAGGTGATGTTTCTCCGATATGATTTCTATCTCCACATAAGAATTAGTCATAATAAGTCAACAACAATTTTTACAAACATAACGAAAATAAAATATAAAAATAACAAAAAATTCAAGATAACGCAAGTATGAAATATTGGACTTAGTGATTTTGAAAATTCTTTCGAAATAGTCTCTCTCTCTTTTGCAGACAGTTCTGCTTCTTTGTATGTGCTCGTAAGCACAGTTGGAAAATTGTGTCGTTTGGTTGATAAGGGTGTGAGTGATCAGGTGAAGCAGGTACTGGGACCTGAAGACCTCCAGAGGTATTTCTTCTTCTTTTTTTAAGAATTAAATCAACAAAAACCTTAATCATATTTTCTATATATCTTAGCATTACATGTCACTCATACGCATTTTTACAATATAACTAACCATGACAGCATAGAAAGAAAAAAAGAAAGCATGAAAGAAATTCTCAGTTTCATCTGAATTCTTTACCTTTTTGTCTCAGGCCACAAAGCGGCTTTTCAGCCTCAATATAACAAGATCTCATATCCAGTTAAATCAACAAAAACCTTAATCATTTTTACAAGTGATCTTGACATCAAATAAACAAAAACCGTAATCCTTTTTTAGAATATATATTTAACATTAAATCAACAAAAACTTTGATAAGTTCACAAAACCTTTGCCAGAATGCTTGAGAGGATGAAGCAGGATACTTTCTCAGATATCCAAAAAATTCATTCACTCTTTGGAATGGCTCCTTTGAAAGAAATTGAGAACCTGAAATGAGCTCCTATCGTTAGACATGGAGCAGTTGCCAAGGATTTTGTGGAACATGCAGTTTTACACAGAAAGTCGGTCATTCAGACCTTGTTAGCACCTTTATGTGAGTTAAGATTATATAAACAATACCTGTTTTTAAGGGCTCTCTGGTGCCGTAGGTATTGTAAAGATTGGTAAGGAACTTGGCTGCTAACTCAAAGACATACGGTTCGAATCCACCAGCTGCTCCACAGAGAAAGATGGACAGTCTCCCCAATTTCATAGACGACTTACTGCCTCTAAAAATATGCTGGAGGGTGAGGTATGGGTCACTTCCCACTCGGCACTACACAACCACATACCTCTTTTTATGTGATAAGGATGGCACAGGATAGGACAGGGTTCACGTCTGTTAACAGAGTCGCTAAGAGTCGTAGTGGGCTCAGCGGCATCTAACAACCACAACAACTGCTGGTATAATTTGTAAGGAGTTGCACTTCTTAGCCAAAGGTGGTGCCCTAGTGGCAAGATGCCACGCTGCAATCACTAAGGCACGTGGTTCGAGACCACCAGCAGTTGTGTAGGAGAAGGATGGGTGATCTCCTCCTTGTGACTAACTGCCTCTGAAAACCCACCAGAGGGTCAGGTGTGGGTTGGTTGTGACTCGACAGTACGTAATAACAACCACCACTGTAGACCATTATTAATTATTTGCTTAGAAGGTAAATGGTAAGGATTATTCTAAATACCAGACATCAAGTGACAGATGACCTGATATTTAAAAGATGTTAAGATATTGTAGCTGTACTTAAAGGAGCTTTTCACTTAAAATTTTATGCTAGGATTTATAAGAACATATTTATGGGAGTATCACATATTTTATATGATCTTGTGAATTTCAAGGAACCCCATACATGATCTGGTATTTGAATTTCCTTATACTTGGAACATAAATCTCAATATAGGTAGTGTTACCCTTCCCATAGTTTATTGACTATTGATGTTTTTTCTTAATGTTTAATAGGACATTCACTATAAAAGCCAGGTATTTTCAGAAAATAGAAGCAGGGTCTCAGAAGGCTAGAATTAAATGGCATCTTTCACATATTAGAAATAATTTATATAAATAAATTAAATAAATTATAATATCATTTTGACCTAGGAACATATGTTTCCATTACTGATATTGTAAGATGCTGTTTTAGAAAAGGTATATTAAAAAAAAAGAAAATAAAAAAAAAAAGATATATTGAGTCAATATGAAACTGAAAGGGGAAACTAAAACTAATGGTTGTGATGTATTTATTTCTAAATTAGCAGGACAGTTTTTCCCTTTTGAAAATGTCTTGCCTGCCATCAGATGAAACAAAGCTCAGTAAACCTCATTGTTTTTTTAAACAGCATTATCAGCAAATTAGAAGAACATGATGAATTTTTCCCAGCCTTTCAGGCATTCACTAATGATCTGCTTAAAATCTTAGGTAAGATCTTTTTGATGATGGTTAACTTTGGAATCTTAAGATGCCAGTGAATTTGAGAGAAGTTATCGTTCTGGATAACTTTTTCCTAATCAACAGTTCTGGGAACACGTTTCCTCACTTGCAATTTGAGTTGTTTGGGATTGTCCCACAAAGCAGTGAAGCACACGATGGAATACTACACTGCATTGAAAAACAAGGAACTCATGCAATATTGTTAAAAATCTGTGACCCTGGAGGACATTATGCTGAGTGAAATATCTCGGTCACAAAAGGACAAATATTGCATGGTGCCACTGCTGTAAAATGGGACTGATAGCAGGGTTGTAGTAAGACTGAGAAAAACTGGATAAATTGTGTATACTGCACTGAAACAGATGAGGGAGAGAATAATTTAAAAGCGATGTATGATAACGTATTATGGTTATCACAAGAGTCTACAATTAAGGTTGCATAGTGGAATGTACTTGGGGCGGTGGGAGGGGTGCGGGGGGGATTGTGTACCAGGGAGAGAGTGTTTATTTTACTTTTCAAAGAGAGGAGTGAACTGGGGTGGGGGGGAGGTCTGGGCGGGGAGAGAAGTGCAGCAATGAATGAATGGAAATCCAAAATC